GTAGGGAAACACCTTATTCTCACCATTAGATTACCTGTAAGCTGTATTTTGAGCACTTGAATTAGTACTAACGCTGACGTTAACGCTGTGACTGTCTCGTCCAGATGAGAACGTGCAGGAGTTAGCCGTGGAACTGGTTCAGCTGGGATTTATCAGCGAGGTAGGTGAAGACGGTCACATGACCTTCACACTTCTGCTGTCGTTCTAACCGTGGACGCTCAATACCCAGCATGCATCATCTCTGACCCAACGCTTGTCGTCCATTTCAGGGTGATCAGCCGCGACTCGCGTCGGTTCTAGAGGAGGCCTTCTCTAAATTCTACAGTAGGAACGGCTCTCTGAACCCTGTCACCGTCTCCTCGTAGCAGAGGAATTCCTCCCAGCCCTCCTCACCCTCTCCAGCCGGACTAGCTTTTCGCTTCATTTCACCATCGCAGGAAAGCTTTGGCGAGGAGATTGGAGGTAGCCTTGGTCTGATTGCAGATCCTGCAGCCTGTCCTCGTATCTTTTGGTGGGAAAAGAAAATTGCCACTAAGTGGTTTTTGGCTTTGTATGTTTTTTTTGTTTTTTTTTGTTCCTCCCACCCAGTACAGCAATCTGCTCCTCTTTTTAAAAGAGGAAATCCTATTAGCAACTATATTAATGTTTTCACTTTTTGGGCTTCTTTCTTTGCCTCATGAAGCTGGAGTCAGAATGTTGAAGAGATGAGAAAGTTCAACTGGGATTACTGCAGTATTTTCCTCTAAGTCATTGTTCAAAGTGTATTTTAAACTTTCACATAATGTTAAATGTCTTTGAGTTTTGTCTGAATGAAACAAAACCTCCTGGTCCTGACACGCACGGTGTGACTTTAATGGTGTCGTACAGTTACGTCTGGTCTTAGTTTAAGTTCAGGTTAACGCAACAAATGCGAAGCCAGATTTGCATTGGTTTCTACGTATTTCAGTGTCGTCGTAAAGACTTTGCAGCTGCATCACATCAGGCTGAAGAGCAACAGAGGCGTTTAGTAAACAACAAACTATTTATTTGTTTTGTTTTTTTTTTCACTTTCAGCACAAACGTCGTATAGATTTAGGCTTTCCGTTTCTTTCCGTAAAAAAAAAAATTTTTTGTTACTGGCTCTCTGGATTTGGGCATCTGACCCTGGAGAAGTGCGTTTACATCTGTACTGAGACGTTTTAGCGGCTGAAGTAAAACGTGAAGAGCATTTGTGCATTGATCGCTTTTTGTTTTTTTAAGGAAAGAATGCATGCTTCACACACTGTTTTTTTTTACTCAGTTTAAATAATTGATGGAGACAGATCCAGGAGACTTTATCAAGCAGAGAGACTTTACTTTTCTCCGCTGACTTTCACTTTTAGCTTCGTTCAAGTTCAGAGTAAAACAGTGAAGCCACAACATGTGCTTGGATAACATTTAGAAAAACAGTTTAAGGCTCAAACCTGTGTTTTCTGTTACCAGTGTGACGACCTCTCTTGCACTAACGTAGACTTTGAAGTCCCGTTGTTCTTGTTCTTGTTCACTGACAGAAGGACTGAGGTTGATTTTGAGTTGTGACGGCGGTGATGTCAGTCCCGCCTCTTCAATGCTGTGATTGTGATGTTTGATCAATAGGGTTTTGTTTTTTCTGTAGATACTGGTGTGGATACAAGTGTGGGCACTAGCTGGCGTGCTTGTAACCATCCTGTACACTGTATGCTGGACACTGTGCTCTTTCTGCTACACATTTAGCTCCTTTTTCACCTCCTGAAATAAAAAAAAAATCTATCAGCATTAAACGTCATTGGTCGGTGTCACTTGGTGTGGACTGCACAATCACAGCTGTTGTTTCTGGGTATTTTTTTATGCCAGTCTACAAACTGGTGGATTCATAAGTCAGTGAGGAAGTAACTTGGTGGTTTCCAAACTTTTTCCACAGCTCCCCCTGTGGTGGAATGGACCATTGGTAGTAACTGGACATGATATACGAAGACATGTTGGTACTAGTTATGACTGCAGTTACTTTAAACCCACCTGTCAAGATTTGTTTGCGTCATTTAATTTCCTTCTTTTTTTGAAACTTCAGTTAGTCAGAAAAACTGCATTTCACCTCAGTCTGACCACAAATATTGGGTTGTTTATTTTGTTAAACTTTTTAAATTGTTTACATATTTTTCATTACTCTAATAGGATGAAAAAGGTATCTTAGAAATTCTTTATCATGATACATTTTGGGTGTCAATATCTTTTTTTTTTTAATCTAATTCTAAAGAATATATATAAGCTACGTTGTCATTATTTGGAAACTTTTCATCACTTGATTGATTTGGATCTCTAAATGCTAGTATTTTCCAATTTGCTTTTTAACAATTTTCCCCATGGGCAAAATGTCCCACCTTTTCTCAATGTCCAAAGAAGAGAGGTCAGTGGGCTGACATTTTCTTTTGATTCCAAAATGTTTCAGGGACGTTTAGAAACACAAACACGTGAGAGAATTCAGTTTTTTTAAGTTATTTATACAAAAACCTCCCCCTGGTGTCACTCACAGCATCACTGTGGCAATTATCTGTTCAAATTCGATAAGAAAGTGTAGTAGCCCTTGTACAAGTATACGCATGTACATACTTCAGTCACAATGTGTGCTCCAGTAACGGTAGAGTAAAACACGGTTCATGCCGACAAAAAACACGGGTGCCGTACAAAATTACAGCAGTATAATAAAAATTACAGGCCAGACTAGAAAATAAGGTTGTTTTTTTTTCTCCATAGAAAATGCCATTTAGAAACACACTCTAAATAAAAAGCTACCAAAAAAAGTCCACATCCTCTTTATGAATGTTTTCAATTCTGTACAGAGTTAAGACAAAAAAAGAAACTACAAAAACAGTACATAGCACTTCAATTCAAACACATTACTCCTTCACATGTAAAAACAAACTGTTGGTTTTACTTCCCAGCTTGAAAGTAATGTATAGAGGCACAGTAATTAAATTCATGAACCTTTGTTATTCACAAACCACTATAAAGTGGACAAAGTCAAATATTGGCCCACCAGTGTGTCCACACTGTCCACACTGTCCACAGAGAGCTGCCAGACACCGAGACGAAGCCGTCAGTGTTTAGAAGAAAAAAATAAAATAAAATACTTTCACTGAGCTTGTACTGCGTCCCCTTGACAGTACTGTATCTGATACACAGAAAATACTTCAGCATTTCTCCCATAGAAATGCTGCAACTCTGAAAGGTTGCATTTGAAAAAGAAAAAACAAAAAAAAACATTTAAAAATGTAACTCAGTCAAACTGTGATTTTTGTCTGGAATCACTGTGTTTCACACCTTGTTCTTATGTACAGGCACCTGCAGATGTTTTTCCTCATTTCATGATGATAATAGTTTATGGTCTGATTAATACCTAAAGGAAATTAAGTTAAAAGATGATTGTGTTTCAAATAAATGTGTCTTCTGTCTGTAAACCTCAGGTCAAACACATTTAATCCAGTTCTTCTGGAAGTCGACCATGATGCGAACATTCAAACTCCGTACAGAAAGACCATCCGTTACAAACGGGGGCTCAAACAGCTGACCTAATTCCTGTCAGGTAGGAGTTTCTAACCACCCTTCCACCATGCAGCCAGCTGTGGAAACATGTCAAGGTAAAACAACACTTGGAAAGCATCGTATTATCTCCATGAAGAACCCAGAATATTCTGAGCGTTAATTCAATACAGACAGAAATAATTCAGTGACTTCACTGTGTAGCTGTTGGATTTATGGCTGTACGGAAGAAGTTTATTATTTTAAACTGTAGTTCACTTGTGGATGTGTGAGGATGACGTAACATAACCACCACCAACAAGTCTAATCTGATCTCCATGTGATTCTGACGTTTACTCCACAGAGGAAGCTCCTGGAGACACAGGAGCTGCTGATCCACCGCTGGTACGTCCAGTTATTCTCTATGAATTTAAACAAAAACGTTCAAATATTAATTAAAAACAAACAAACATTAGAGCTCAGTAATGGAGGCAGCAGCGGATCAGCGTGTCCTGTGGTCAGTGATGACTACGGGTCTTTGAGGGGGCGCGGGGTCTTCAAAGAACCAGGAGTAAATAAATAAGGATTTAATTGTTTGAATTAATAATTACAATTAAATTATTTTGTTTGAATTATAAAATTATAATGTGATTATTAACTTATAAAAATATAACAACGTAACAAATACATCCTAATAATTTACCAGTTATTTTGACATTTTAGGAGTTTCACAGAAAATCAGCAAAGTTTTGTTAAAAGAAAACTGTTGATCGTAGGTTTTAGACACGGTCTGTGAACAACTGAATCTGGAGGGAACAGGTCACCTTTAAATAACAAGGAATAGATCAAAATAAAACAGAACTCCTCTTTTCTGGTGTGTAATCACGTCAGAGTCGGGTGGATAGATCCAGCTCTGTTAGAACAAAACATTTATGGCTGTTAGGGAACGTTTCATTTACTCTTTTGTCCCGGCTATGAATAAAAAAAAATCCCGATCCCAGCACCAGGTTTTCTTTTCATCAACGCTCCATTGTCTGAACCTGTTGATGTTGTGCTTTTCTCTGTTGTTGCATCTGGAGTTGATCAGTCAGCTCTGTGTTTCTTTTTACATCTAAAGCTGCAGATATCAGACGTCTGAAACTCAACTTAGCACCATCGGTGTGGCTAAAGGCGCCCCCTAGAGGCTTGTTCTTCAGCTGGACATGGCTGGCGGTAGACAAGTTTGTCATTTGTCACTTAGCTCTGTGATTTAAAAAATAATAATAAAAATCCTCATTTCTTCAGACACTGGTACATCAGTGCTCGTGGATTCAGCATGTAACGCTCAGAGCTGAGTAACTTGTTCAGATACTGAGGCACCTGAGGTCGAGGGGTCACGTAGGAGACCCCCGGACTGACCGCCATCACCTCTGCGATCTTCTGCTTCATCTCTCTGATCTCACGGTCCTGCTTCAGCTTTTTATCTGTGAGTCAGAAAAAAATATTTTATTCTTCACTGCACAAATGTATCACATCTTTAAAATAGAAACACAAAAGAATGTAATTTAAAATACATAAATGAAACTGATCTCACTTGTGCTGTCACTTAATTTCATTCCAGAATTAAATTATTTGTTGAATATTCAGCTTTGTACACTTTGTACAAAATGTCCAAGTCTGTGAAAATGTGATTTAAAAAATCACTTTAAATTATGCTGTAATTCGTAATATTTATAAATTGGAGGTACTGGCACATTATAACAAGAGTTAACTACTGAGAGTTATTAATTGAAAGGATATTGGTAGATTGAATGTTGAACACAAATGAAACGTGTTGGAAATTAAAGACGCTCAACGCGCAATTCCTTTTAAAGCCACAGGGTAGTGCTGCTGTACCTAAATACAAGCGGAGGCCTTTATCCTACAAATTCTTCTTTTTTCGTTGTTTTTCTGTGCACGCGCGAGCATTTACATATGTATCCATATATGTGTGTACGTGTGTGTGTGTGTTGTCTCCATGTTTGTATGTCTGACAAGGAAAAAATGTAGATGTTGACCATGAGCGATCTCCAGCTGCCTGCGGGCGTCTCCCAGAGCAGAGAACAGGTCCAGTTTGATGCGGGTCTCGGCGCTCAGGTTGTACTCCAGATGTTGAGCGTTCTCCTGCATGGCCGACAGCGTGGACAGCAGCATGTCCGTCTCTTTCTCCACGCAGCGGTACTTCCCCAAAGCCTGCGTCCGAAAGAACACATCAACAGTGAGAGCAGGAGGAAACCCTGGAGAACGTGGTCTCACCGGCTGTGGTGACCCCGCCTGGGTGAGGTCAGTGCTTTGGTTTCCTACGGATGTTTTTTTTTTTTAATTCATAATTCAGTCAAGTTTTCATGTTTGTGTTGTACAATGGGGTAAAAATTTGTATTATTTTTTTTATTTTACCGAGGAAACCAATGCACTTCATGTAAAAAATCTTTTCTACATCCATTTATCCTGAAGAATGATTTGGATTTTGAGAGAGAAAAAAAAAAAGAAAATATAAATAACCAATGATGATTCTGGTTAAAGAAAAAAAAAGAAAAAAGAAATAACCAATGATGATTCTGGTTAAAGATCTGACGTCTCCATCTGCATGCTTCATGGACAGTACACCACTAAAAGTACACAGCACAACGACGTCAACACACACCTGATGTCAGACAAAATTAAAACCTGATGTGATGACACAGTGGACTGCAGGCCCAAAATCATAATCCTGCCATGAAATACCACAAACCAAACAAACACAAAGAGAAATCAAAATACAAAACCGCAACAGAGTGAGAAAACAGCCAGGGCGCCGACCAATAGAAAGTCACAAACACTCAACGTCACAGGTTCATTCTGAAGTAGAGTAGAAGAGATACCTCAACATCACTCTCTAGATCTATCACTCGGTTCTCTTTCACTTGAAACTCCAGCTGAAGTTGTTTGTACTCTGTCTCTAGATCTTTTACTCTTTTCCTTAACATTTGGGTTTCACAGTGTTCCTGCCTGGGGTAGGAGACGGGGAGAAGATGACAGTTTTCAGGGGAGGGGGTTCACACACAATCTGTAGCCAACAACAAACACGTCCCCTGACATGAAGGAGACACAACAAGCCCAAAGATCAACAGTTGGCTGAGTTCATAGGAAAAACATTGTGTTAGCTAAACATGCCTGAATGAATGAAAACTTAGCTCGGGTGGCTAATGGTTAGCGGGATATTCAACACAGACTAGAAAAGTCAAAAAGGATTTATTCAAATGTGTAACTGTGTGTTGTTTATTTACGAGGTCTTTCTGTGTTTTTATAAATGACGTGTATTTCATACACTGCGTCGGTCACTACGGCAGAATTGACTTCCACTCAGCAGCCAACAACAGCGTGATTTACACAGTGTCAGAGTGTAAGTCACCTGTTTGTCAGACTCCGTGCTGCGTTCGCTGCCTCCTCCAGTTTCTGGGCCTGTAGTTCGGCCAGATGTTTCTCAGCAGAGAGTCTGGCCTCTGTCTCTGCTCTGGCCTTCTTCTCCAGCATCATGCTGGTCTGCTTGTCCCGCTGTTTGTTTTTAGTCAAACACAGGATTCTGAAGGGGAAAAAAAAGAATAAATGATAAGAAGTGAGCTGTCTGTTTGAGGTGATTAAAATGTCTTTGTTAATCATTATTATAATCTTGTTTTAGGCCAATTCTAAGGTGTTTTACAACTTAAGTCTGCACAAAATTAGTAAATGAAGTTTCATTGGGTCCATGGAAGAATTAGTAAATGAAGTAGTTAAATGAAGTTTCATTGGGTCCATGGAATTCTCTCAAATTTGTGGGGATTTGTTGTTGAAACACCTCGGGTCACAAATGCCCCACTGGGGCTCACAGGTCTCTGTAAAGGTCCCAGCTCCCAGGCTGGAGGCCCTCAGACCATCACTCACTTGCTCTGCAGCAGCATGTTTGACTGTCTCAGCAGGGACACCTCGGGTCTCAGGCTCCTCTCACTGTTGGTGATGTTGCAGATGTGACTCCTCAGCTCCTGCTCGCCCTGTCTGCTGCTCTGCACCTCGGCCTTCAGCTTCTTCAGCTCCTGCTCCAGCCTGCGCTCCAGAAAACAAGCCGTTAACTCGGCAGTCGTCACACCTGTATCCTCTGTCATTTTCAGACAGTTTTTTTTGTGCCTTACTTGTTCATCTGCTCAGTGTGGTAGTTCTGAGCGGCTGTCGTGCTCCTCTCCGTCACATCCCGGTGGGGGCTGATTGTTTTGGAGCTGGATCTCTGCTGCTTCTTCTCCGTCTTCACCACAGGTGCTGTAGGAGTGTGTGTGCCTCCGCTGCAGGCTTTTGGTGAAGAGCTTTTAGTTGCCCGTGAGGATTTGCCTCCCTGCTCCTCTTGAGGTAGATGTTCCTGGACGGCAGGAGACTCTGGCGCTCCTCCACTGCTTTGGAGAACTTCTCTGGACTCACTGGCACTTTGTCTAGAAGATGATGCCAATGGACGCCGGCTGGTCTCAGTGCTCTTCATCTCAGGCGTTCCCTTTTCTGGTGTTCTCTCCTCGCTGCGGATCTGGAGGCAGTCCAACATGTGAGCCTCCTCGTGGGCCAGAACAGCTCCGTTCTGGCACTGGTACTGACTGGACTCAGGCTTCAGCTTCAATCTTGAGCCTGTGAAATTCAACACTATTTAGAGAACCACGTCGAAATGAATTCCACATTTGAGATGATGACCAAAGATGGTACTTTAATTTTTTGAAATGTTGGAAAACACAGACTCACTGCTGTTGCTGCTGCTTGACGTGTCGTCGGTGCCGGTCTTGGGGAAAAGCTGCAGGCCTGGAGGCAGCGAGTGCTGCAGGAGGTGCATGTGGAAGTCATTCTCACTCTGCACGGACTTCTGTACACGCAGCTTAAAGATGTTGGTGAAGTAGCAGGTGGCGTCGAAGCCCAGATACACAACAGGATACCCAATACTGAAGAAGAAAACAGTGGGGTGAGTGTGAACTCTGTGACAGTGGAGCTGAAGTCTGAGTGGATGTTTAGAAAAAGATTTCAGAAATTCTTTGCTCAACATTTCCTCTCTCACATCACATATACTTTTTAATTTCATTGTTTAATCTGAGTTAAATCTCCAACTCACACTGGAGATGCACTGATTTTTTTGTTTGTTTGTTTAAAATTGAGAACCCTATTGATTATCAGGCTGTATTTCAAACTGACAAATTCAAACTTATTTAAAGCGGCTGTTCCTGTTTTCATCAACTGTCCGTACCAGTGTGCAGCAAAAAGATGAGACAGGTTGGCATGTGATGTTTTGAGGTCTTTGAGTCGAAGCGAAGCCTCTGTGTACACCAGCAGTATCCACAGAGACACGGTGGAGATACAGATGCCTTTCTCTGAAACCACAGAAAACACAACACAGTCAGTTCAGAAGTTTATTCTCTGAGATGTTTGTTTTGATAAATTAGCTTTGGTTTCACATGGGCATGTCACGTCATTTAAATCCACATACTCACCTGTGTGCCATATGTAATTGAATACCACATAGGTGCTTGCCACAAAGAACAGCCAGTGCAGAGGCACGAAAATCAAACAGAAGATGTCAAGAGTGAAGGCAGCACAGACAAAAACCACACAGATGACCTGCAAAAACAGAAAACACTGATTTCAGTTTACATTATATTATCATCCTGGGTGGGGGGCAGGGGTCACATCAGCCACCAGGGGGCACTCACCAGGCCGTGGCAATGGAAAGTAGTGTATACACTGCCAAAGAAAAGCCAGCATGGCCACAGATACTCGAGTCTGAATTCCAGGATGAAGTCTGCCAGCAGCACCAGGGTCCACATCAACATAAACTTTAGGAAGGTGTATGCACTGGAAATACAGACGAAAAACAAAAAAACAATACATTAAAGCTTTAGTTGACAATTACAAATCACAAATGCACAGCTTTACTGTTAAATTCCCCAGAAAAATGTAAAACAAGGAGTTACCTAAAATGAACTAAAACAGTTTTTAATCTGTATTTGTTACAAACTAGACAAAATCTAACTCAGCTGGTGTAGAAAACAGCTTCAATGGTGCAATAAATGTAACTGATAATAGAACCAGAGTCAGGCAAAATGTTAGGAAAATGAATAAACGTCACAAAATATCACCAGGCCTTAAGTAAGCTAATTATTAGCCCAAATCTAGCCTTACGCCAGACAACCATAACATTCTACATCGTCAGTTCATCAAGGTTAAAAAAAAGTATTTCCTGTTTTGGGCCAAACCTCTGATTTTAGTAAATAAAGACGTGTCAGATTCACCAAATGAAGACAAAGCATTAAACACAGACACAGGGGCTAATGGAAGTCTCCGGATCTCCTCCAAACTGTAAAGGCTGTAATTGAACAGCTGCGTGTTAAAAGTGCAGTTCCTCCTTTTAACCCTAAGTGGAGGCCCAGCAAACAATGACTGTTCCTCGTTTGCTTTTTAATGAAGAGAGCACGAGCAGAACAGGAGCACTGCCTCCCTCCTTTGTTCCACTCGTCCATAGGCTGCTGCCATCACATCAGCCCTTCTTTGTTTGGTAACCATGACAATATTTCATCTGGAGGACAGAGAGGAGGAGGGAGGGAGGGACCAGAGCAGCATCCCAGCAAAAACCTCAAATCTGCCTTAAATACTACTCAGAGAAAACGCTGCGGTTTAAATACTGTAACTAATAAAAAAAAAGAGTTCATTTCAGCACAGCTGGATCACAGATGAATTACCCGGATGTGTAACATTTATTCCCCCAAACATTTGAAAAATTGCGTCTTTAACAGTGGTGTAGGAGACAAAAGAAACGACACGATGTCGTAACAATTCCAACATGCCTCCAAATTTACTGTAAAATATTAAATGTAATCATATTTAAAAATAATATTTAATAATATTAAATTCACAGTTCAGTTGTGGTGTTTGTGATAACATGGTTTATCGTAGTTATTGTAGGGGAAGAAACAGAAAAAAAAAAAAACGAAATAAAACGACAGCCTCTTCTTATGTTCCTCAAATGATTCCTGAATTTTATTTACAGAACTTAATAATGTAAAATAGTTGAGAACATATTTATTAGATTTTCACGAAGAAAACTACTACAGGGGAAATAGTTTTAATAAATAGGAGCTGAATAATAATTGAATGTTTATTTGATGTTTGGAGTCTGACTCTTTGCTCAGAGTTGTAAGATTAAATTTGCACAATTCAATATCTGTGAAATATTATAATAGTATAAGTTATTATTAATATATATTATTTAGTAACAGATTAAGACACATTGAGAAAAAAATTATCAATTCTACCAGATTTTATTTTTAAATAACACAAAGCAGAATTTAAAATTATCACTTTAAATCATACGGTTATCAAACTACGAATAAAACATTAATATAAATAAAATAATGATTGTTGTTATTTTTTATTTATTATTTCTCATTATTTATTCACTTTTATTTAATAATACACCATTGTCTTATATTATTTTAATTTCGCTGTGGCGGTAAATCTCTCTATTTTAAGACGATGACAGTTTTTAAAGACTACAGAAAAAAATATCTACATTAATGGACAACAAACAAAGACGTGCTGCGTTTAAGAGCAACGGATAAAATGAAAACAGACACCGTGATCTTTTCTCTCAGTGACCGAGTACATCTGTGTAATAACATCACAGACAGACAAACAAAGAGCCGCCGCCGCCGCCGCCGCTGCTGCCGATGGGGATGGTGATGACGATGATGGAGACAGACAGAAACAGCGAGGAGGCAGACTGGGATGCGGCGATGCTGGGATGGATGGAAGGATGGAAGGATGGAGGAGGAGACGGAGACGGAGCAGAAGGAGGAGGCAGACGACAGGTGACATTTCCACACACACAAAGAAGCACAACAAAAGCCCAGAGCCTCCCTCACCTCTCAGACAGCTTCTCCGTCAACCGCAGCTTCTTCATTTTCCTCAGCCTGTTCGCCTCCACATAGCGCTTCTTCATCTTCCGTGTCGCCGACGCTGTTGTTGTTGTTGTTCACACACAATCGGACAGCTCCAGTAAATAAACAAGTTCAGCAGACACGGAGGTGTTCTCATGGAAGAAGAAGAAGAAGAAGAAGAAGAAGAAGAAGACGTTGTTCAGTTGATGTGGTGCTGATGCTGAGAATGATGATGATGTCACGGAACAAATATAGGCGAGCGGCTGTGCGCATGCGTATTGGGGTCTGTACATGCAAGTGTTCGACGCAGGAGGGGAGCAGGAGTACACGCTGTACACACACTGCGCCGAACAACAACAACAACACGACAACAATAACATTGATTACCTGGACTCTGACGTAGTTTTTACACCTTTAATGAAGTTCGTTAGACAAACAGAACGCGTCGGAGGGTTTTGGTACGAAGTTACTACAACAGTAACTGTACAGGCAATAAAACAAAACTTATGTTCTTTACCTGCTAAAAACCAACATAACATATTAGGAACTGTTTTAACAGAATAAAGTCATCGAATAGAGTTAATCACGTGTCATTTTGCTTTTGGTACGAAGTTCCTACAACAGTAACTGCACAGGCAATAAAACAAAACCTGATGTTCTTTACCTGCTAAAAAACAACATTATAACATATTAGGAACAGTTTTAACAAAATAAAGTAATCGAATA